TTTTGTTTATCCTATCGACGGAGGTACCATGAGGTAAGCCGTGAGATTGAAGCTTACTTGTTCTCTATATCGCTCCACCGTCGTCGTCGTCAGCCCGCACGTCGTCCTCGTCCTCGTCAGTCGTCGCCGTTGGTGGTCGTCTTCCCTCTCACAGTGCCACGCGCCTTGCCACGGTGTGCAACCAACTGTGACCATAGTACGAGGCCGTCAGACATAGGCGCGCGATTCAATAAGTCGGGCAGCTGATAGGTAAGGCGCCCTCACCCCATCTCTCTTCTTCTTCTTCTTCTCCTTCTTCTTCTTCTTTCTTCTTCTTCTTCTTCTTCTTCTTCTTCTTCTTCTTCTTCTTCTTCTTCTTCTTCTTCTTCTGGTCCCCGCGCTTGTCTGACTGCTAGAGCTCCTCCCTTGCGCTGCTGCCTCTTCTTCTCCGTGCACTCTTTCTCCCATGCTCACCGCTTCTTCTTCTTCTGCTTCTTCTTCTTCTTCTTCTTCTTCTTCTTCTTCGTGCACCTCGCGCGGCTATCTTCCATGCTCCCTGCGCGCTAACTTTCTGCATGTGTGCGCTCCTCTCGTCATGTTCGGAGCACTCAACCCGAACCCGCGGGCCAGAGTCTCGGTTGCTATGTCTGGGGTCGAACATATTTCGTCAAAATGAATCTGTCCGACTTTCCTATGTAGATTCACTAAAGTGAATCTTTGGAAGCTTGTAGTAGCTACGAGATTAGTAAGAAACAAAGAAATAAGAAATAATAAAAAAAAATAAAGTTAAATTATATGAAAAAAAAACGAATCCAACTAACAACGAAAATCAAATGAATAAAAAAACAAATCTAACAACTAACTCGTCCGGATCCGATAGGGCTAGGATCATCGTCCCCTCATGCCTATTGAAGACCAAGGTCTCTGTTCGGCAGAGGAACTACCTCCCCAGGAGGATAGGGTGGTCGACATCGGGCATGACGAAGAAGCACGTTCGTGCCCTTACCTCCCAATTTCCACCATCACGTTAGACGCGGTGCCGCAGAAAATTGCCTTACAGTTGGCGCCATGCAGCATACCATGATCCGAGTGGTCAAACTCCAGCCCTAGCATGGTCGCATCTCGCTCCCGGATAATGTTCATCTCAGCGTCCGTGTCCACCATTGCGATGCTCGGCTGGTCCCTCACCTTCAGATCCACCAACCCACACGCCACATATTTCCAATCCATCCTGGTGCCCGCCTCTGTCCACTCTATCTCCCTGGGCAAAATCGAACTTAGGTGGACATTGGGCACTAACCTTCGTGAGAGCCGCCCTTTCAGCTCACCCCGGAGCCTTGGTGCCGACGCCAAGATGTCTTTTAGATTCATCAAATCATTATGGCCCTCCAGGAGCTTGTCCACCATTCGCTCCACGTCAAAGCCCTCCTCTAGCCGACAGCGTATCTCTTCCTCTTTGGCATGCCGTCGTGTAGGCTTGGCTCCGCCCCTCCCTGAATCCCTCTCTTCTTGGCCCTCTGCTCGGCCCACCGTTCCTCATCTTGCCGAAGCCTCTCGTCCTCTTCGTCATCACCCTCCTCGTCTTCCTCCTGAACCTCCACCACTTCTTTCCTTCGTTCAGGCTCAAGTTCCCTCCGAGGAGACGCCCGACCAGGTGCCTGACTGGGCCCTTGACTAACGGTAGCCTTATTTTGGCCCCTAGTCTGCGAGGCCTGTGGCACCCTTCCATGCGACGTAGGGGGCCTGAAGGTCATCCCTGACCTAGGACCTGCCCCGGCTGTTGCCACGCTTGGACACCCTTGCGGTCCTGATGACGACTCCGGGCCGGACCCATAGAGCATCACTTCAGGGAGGCTCATTTCCCACTCCCGGGCCTCTTCGCACATCACCCTCAATCGCTCCTGGTACCTGCCGACCTTTGCAAGCAGGTCCTCCATCCTTTCCAGGATGGTCGAGGCGGACTCTCCCACCACTTCCAACCCCTCATCGTCCGACTCAACGACTATCGGCTCCTCCTTTATAGTCCCTGCCTTTAGTTGTTGAGTCACTTCCTCACTCTCATCCACAATCTCTTCGACCCTCGCACCCGGATCCTCCCTTTCTTGCCATATCCTAAACATCGCTGGGGCTGCCGGTGGCCCTGCCGCTGCTCGCCTGAGGGCTTCTTGCCTGATTCCTCCTGGGGTCCTGGGATTGATATGCTTTCCTCACCTATCGTATATGTCCCTGTCCATACAAGAGGAAATCAGTCCCGCCAGCTCGTCGTCCCGCCACTGTTGGCAGAACCGTAGGGTGTGGCCTACCTCGCCACAATGCCAACAAGTGCATTCCGCCAGTCGAAACGGGGCCTCCCGTACCCTTGGCCCCCCTCCTGGTTGCCCTGGCCACCCTGGCTCTGGCCTCCCTGATTATTCCAACCACCCCCACGGCCCCCACCATTTCCTCCTCGTCCCCGGCCACCCCCTCCTCGGCCCCGGCCTCCATTGCCTTGCCCGCCTTGTCCTTGACTCCCTCCCACGGCCACACTAGCCTGCGAGGCCTGTTGGGAGGGCGGCGGTTGGGCCACTAGCTGGCCTTGAGTCGCTAGGTAGCTCGGGGGGCCCATACTTGCCGAATAGGGGACCATGTGTCCCGTGTGGGCCTGACCTCCTCCACACGAGACACAGTGGTTACAACTGGGCCAGGGGGCGGACTGACAATGCGGCACCCAGTGTCCGCAAGCTGGTGGCGGCCCCGTGTGCGATGGTCCTGCTGGCACTGATGCGGCTGCGGCGACGGGTGGCGGTGCGGCAATGGCTTGGGGAGCCTGCCCCTTCCCTGATCCCTGCCCTCCCAGCAGCAGGTTGCGCTGCTTCCTCTGGGCCTTACTCAGGGCTTGGGAACCCGTCTCCTCCCCGCCATAGTCTTCACGCCCAGCCTCCTCATCTACTGCCCCTAATGCCCGACCTTGCGCCACAGTCACCCCTCTTTTCTGTATTTCTGCCTCATTGTCATATCCCAACGCGGCCAACACGTCCGTAACAATCCTCTTCACCCCTGGGGTCCCGGATGTGGTAGCATCCCTTTCCTTCCTCTTACGCCTTTGCAGCCGCATTTGGTGCTGCTCCACCTGGTCCAGGCTCCCTTCTTCCACTCCTTTGTCTATAATTGCCCAGGTGAGCTTTTCACTCCCTTCCCCATGCTTTGTCAATTCTGCGGCCTTCGAGCCCGTAAGCAATCCCAGAAATGTGGCGCACTGCGCCTCCTTTGAAATCCCGTGCACTTTCCTCGCCTTTTTCTTAAGTTCGTGCACGAACGCTCCAATGGTAGACAAATCTCCCTTATTCATGGCCTCCAAGTCGGCCATGGTCAACAGGCCATCCCCCAGCCTGTACTTCCTCCGCATCAGGTCCCCAAACTTTGTCCAACTGCCGTTGGCGGCGTCCACGACCTCACTTACTTCCCGATGGTGACTATGCACGACATACCTTAGGACCCGCTGGAGCTTGACCTCATCTGACAGTCCTACCAGCGCCTGCTCTGTCAGATCCAACCAGTCAGGTACCCGATCCCCCTTGAAATGGAATGTCTCAACCTTTGGGACATTGCTCGGCGCCCTCTTGCGCTTGTCCAAGGCATCGATGAGGTCGTCGAGTGTCACGAGCCTCCTCCCACCGTCCGCCATCTCCTCTGGCATTTTGATCAACCACCTCCGACTTCAAACTTCCTGTTATAAGAAACGATAGGACGAAAGGCCCCACTCAGCAGTTCATTCCCTCACGACTGTATCGGGTTGACCCCTCAAACATCCGACGCTCTAGACCAAGCATACATTTCTCTTCCCGTTTCCCCTAAGTACCTAGATGGGTCTATCCTTACCATAAGGTCTCCTCACACATTCGCCTCACCCACGTCATCAACCAAGCCGCCAATCAGTCAATCATTCACACCCATAGTCATATAGACCACCATACAATTCATCTCATAATCTCCCCTTATCCACTCATATGCCTAGTTCTCCCTCACTCCCATACCCGGATGTCGTTCCACCAGGGACAACGGTAGGCTTCCGTTATCCCCGGCAACGGTGCCACCTGTCGAGCGCATCGGTCCGGCACCACACGTGGCAGTGCGGGACCCTCTCGGCCGCGTCACGCAGGAGTTGGACCAACATCGTCACGAACATATAAATGGAGCTTCCTTAGGCCGCTCCGGCCGAGTGCGCCAGCCATACCTCTCGCGAGCCCCTACGACAGGATAGGGCCTATGTGAGGCAAAACTTACCTCCACCTTACGGGAGCTGTCACCTCCCTTTGGTGGGCGTATCCCCGCCGAGCTACCAGTCCACAGTACGAAAGCTAATCAGTTGCAATCGCAGAGGTGGGCCAGCCGAGGGCGTTTCTCGTTCGTTGTAGCATAGGGGGTACGCGCGGTAATACGCCTATCGGACCCGCGCGCGAACCGACATCTTGGGGGGCTGAAGTCCCAAGCGCGGCTCGTCGTCGGTCGACTAGGACGCATCCCACACACCACGCGCACACCACTCTACGAACGCAAAAATAAAACACCTACACACGCACACACACCAACAACGCGACACAACACAACAACGCGACAACGCTCCTAGCCCCTTAGTAGCCGTCCCATAACTTTCCACTGCGAAAATCGAGTAGGCGTCGCGCGTGAAACTAGGCAAAAACCGTGTGGACGCAGGACTATCTCATATCGACTCGCAATGCAAGTGTACACAAGCAGTCACAACGATGGCGTACTATGTAGTACCCATACTCACGCGGTCCTCGTTAATCTCGAGGGCCGTATTCGACACTCAAGCGTCGACTGACACGCGCTTTGAGGGTTAATCTCTCGACGCTGGACAACCGCCATGCGCGGTTGAGGACCACACACCCTCTTCTGCACCCTTGTGCAGAGCGGGTGGTACACAGGTCCAGAACCTGTGGTGGTGGTCGTCTCTCGCGGCCCTGGGGGTAAGTCTCTCCCGGGTCTGGGCGAAAGTCAAGGGGTTTGACTTTGACGACTGCCACGGACTACAACGACCAACTATAAAAATCTCTAAAAAGCAAACAAAACACGGACAAAACCAAGAAGAGGGAATAGGGTAAAGGTCCTCTGGCTTTTAAAAGGACTCGTGACCTTGGAGCACCCTCCCCCTCTATGGATGGTGTCGGCGACCTACAATAATCCCAAGCGCTGCGCCTACGTGTGAGCCCGGCGATCCCATAACTTTTAAACGCTGGGGCAGCGAAGCGTCACGCGCGAGACTCTAACATAAATTTGCGCAGCCGCAGACCAATTCTATGCCAACCACCGATGCCAATCGTACGTGGTAATCACGGCTCCGGCCTCGCGATATTGAATGGCTGAAGGAACACATCGCGATGGGTCACCCCTCATGATATTGAACGGCTGAAGGATGCTCCGTTCGGCCCTCGCGATATTTTCGCCTTCAAGGTGGGGTGTCTCGCCGGCCAAAGTAAATAGACTCTATGAGAGGGGAGACTCCTTCCCTGCAGAGCCTAGGGCTTGGGATGTCCTGGACAAGGACCTTGAATCCCGGCCCATGACCAACGTCCGACTAAGAAAGCCCCAAAACGCAAATAGGCAAAAGGGAGGGTCTTCCCCGTCCCTCAACCTCAACCTTTAAACGGGTTTTTAACATGGGCCTCTTAGGCCTCTCGAGCACTCATCATAAGTATACCCCCACATACAAGCATAAGGGAAATAGAGATGCGACGATCACTTCTCACAGCCACAGTGGGACTCCTCACAACCATGTATATATATGGGATTGCAGACAATCCAAATCTAAAAATCCGAGCCACAGAACATACCTGCAATCACACCAAGAAGCGAACGGCATAACATGCACTACACGGAGTCAACCCCATTGCAACCATTCTCTATGCTCATACCCCTTCGCTTTAGCCATTCAAGCCCCAATCGCCGATCCAACCAACCTCAATTAAATACTCAGTACCTTTGTTAAATGACCATTCAATAAAAGTCCGGGTGAAACCCTTAACAAAAAGTAAAACCATCAGGGCTAAAGCTTTTTAGGTTGAGTATGGAGAGTGAGTTGGAATTGAGTCGAAGACCGACGAATCGGCAACCGACCTGTTATCAGTGATAACGGAAGGTGATCCTCAAGGGATCAAGCTGAATCTAGTCCTGATCTTGAATCAGATAACCCAAAAGACCTGTAATCACAAGATAGGTCAAATGTCAAAACTAAATCATCAGCATATGGGGGATAAACCTCCATAGCACATTCTTACTCAAGGCTACCTGCCAACAAAGTCCAGGCCTACCTCTAAGCCAGCGCCCAAAGCAAAGGTAGACTAATGGCAGAGTCTCCCCTATTCAAGGTGGATTGCAAGAATCGTCACCTGTCAAAATATAATCTAACTCCTCGAATTCAAGGAAATTTCGGCAGCGCTTCCCGTAGGAAAAGTGCCTTTTCAGAGTTTATACAAACCCAAATATCAAAAGCAGGATTAATCTATAACTCTTGAAAGTCAAATTTTGTCTAACTCTCTGAATTAGCAGAAATTTGGGCAGCATATCCTCTGGAATTGGGGATTTCCCAGATTTATACCAAGTCAAATTTGAACTCAGCCCCCAACCCTGGGTTCAACTTAGAGAAAATCTGACTAACTCCTTAGTTTTGCAGAAATTTTGGAAGCACTTCCCCTAGAAAAGTGTTTTTTCAAAATTTATACAAAGCTAAGTTTAGAGCTTAAGACTAACTTTGACTTCTCAAAGTCCAATTTTGTGTAACTCCCTCAATTCGCAAAAATTTTGGCAGCACTCTCCTTAGAAAATGGGACTTTCCAAATTTTTACTAAGTCAGATATACAGAAAAGACAAGCTGAACTTTGACAAGTCAAAATTTGTCTTACCCCTTGAATCTGTAAAAATTTCGGCAGCGCTTTCCATAGAGAAAGTAGCTTACCAAAATTTATACAAGTCCAAGTGTAATAGCGAGTTTCAGAAAGTGCAAGAATCGATCTAAGTGAAATAAAGTCAACTCAGAAAACGTAGGAATTGACCTAACTCCTATCGCTCCAGCATGTGGCGAGCCTCTAAAGCAACTACCTGTCAACCTGAAGCCCAAACCAAGTAGTAATCTCACTCAGTCACATGCAGGCCAAACCACAAAGGTAAGTACTCTCACCAACCCCAAGCTCTTTTAGCAAGCAATAGTTCATGCTTCCTCAGTAAGTTACCCCTTTATACCCAACTTACATAAGGCATAGGTCAGGGCACCTGAACTTACAGAGCGCGCCCAACTTAGCCAGGCCCAAAGTCAGAATACCTAAATTTACAGAGCGTTCTGACTTGGCCGGGTATACACAAACAAAGGGCACAACTACTTCGCTCTTCCTTGGGCGTGTGACTAGACCACTCTAGTCGCCCTGAACTGTTTAAATAGCCAGATTATATATACCTCTCTGAACTTAATCTTCAAAGGGGACATAAGGCTGAGCCGCTCAACTTAGAACACTACTTAGCCTGCCCAAATTTACCTTTAGTTATACCTCTTTAGTTATACTCTCTTCAGTTGTGATAAGCTATAGTCAGGCTACCTAAACTTATAAAGCGGCCTGACCAGCCAGTTCGTAATAGCATAATAATACAATATAGCCAGGTTATATCCATTGGGTTCCAACATGTGCGAGGCATTGGGTCAGACTACCTAAACTTATAGAGCGGTCTGACCCTTTGCCAGGTTCGTCTATCTCTGATCCAGGTTGTGCGGAGCAGTAGGCCAGGCTACCTAAACTTATAGAGCGGTCTGGCTCCTGCCAGAATTACTCCCCCAGAACAACACAGGAAAAGAGCCGAACCACCGAAACTTATAGAGCGGTTCAGACCTCCTCGTTCATAAACAAAGAAACAGAAAGAACGCCCACATAAACAAGGCGACCCAGGGTACCTAAACTTATAAAGCGCCCTGAGCCCCTTAAAGCCAAGCACAACCAACCCTCGCAAGTCAGAGCAGTCAGGTCATCTAAACTTATAGAGCGTCCTGACCCTCCATGCACTTCACAGCACCAGGTCTCCCCAAACTTATGGGGACATCCCAGCCTCAAGAGCTTCGGGTTACCTAAACTTATAGAGCAACTTGAGGCTTCATGCGATCCAAAAATAAATAAAGCGTTGGGTTTCCCCAAACTTATGGGGACCTCCCAGCCTTAATGACCCGATCAGACTACATGCAATACTGCCTTCCTCCCAACCTTCCCCCCAGATGCAATCCCTTTTTGTTCACAATCTGCTTTCAGGCAACCAAACAAAGTCTGAAACTGAAATTGCACACACATTCCTTTATTTCAGTCTGACTTATGTCATGAACGTCACGCTCAAAACCAAGTACATGATCCACACAATACACTCAGTCAAATGTACAGGGATGTACAGGTAGGGATTATAGTTGGGTTTATAGAGGGAGTCAAGGGATTACCACTCAGTTCCCTGCCTCCAAGACTCCGTCGGAGTCCCGGCAGAGCTCCCGCAATCGGTGGGGCAACCTCCCATAGAGGCCTTGGCGCGGATTACGGGCCACAAGCCCGCCTGCTGCCTTCCCCTCAGAGCCAAATAGACTAGACTTAGACTCAGAAAGGCAGGACGAGATAGCTTTTAGATTCTCAGATGCAAGAAATGGTGCGCTCAGACCCGCATGAGAGGGCCTTCAATCCTTCGGCGCCTGAGGGCCCCACAAGTGGTAGCCAAAAAAAATGCGCGGCAAT